GGTGGAGGTCTTGGAGGGCGACAGCGACGTGGAAGTCGTGGAGGGACAGGGGGGCGGGGGCGCCGAAGGAGAAGTAGTCGAACTTTGAATCATAGTTCTTTGGGAGTGCCAGTGAGAGTGGATGTTTTTGCGATGGTAGGGGCGCGGGCACGAAGTAGAATTCAACCCNGTGGAGGTCTTGGAGGGCGACAGCGACGTGGAAGTCGTGGAGGGACAGGGGGGCGGGGGCGCCGAAGGAGAAGTAGTCGAACTTTGAATCATAGTTCTTTGGGAGTGCCAGTGAGAGTGGATGTTTTTGCGATGGTAGGGGCGCGGGCACGAAGTAGAATTCAACCCGCCTAGGAAGTACAGTAGTAGGACGTTGGTAGCTCGTAGTGGTAGTTTGGTGTGATTTTTTACTTCGCTTTTGGTTTCATCTGCGTTTAGAATTGTTGTGTGGATGCCGTTTGCCGATTTGCCGATCTTGATTCTGCAGAACGAAAATAAGAGAATAAAGAGTACAAATACCACATTTTTGAACATCGTTATGGTGCCAAGGGCAGCAGTAGCAGTGGAGCACGCGATTCAAGCTCCCACAGTATCCGGAATTTCCAGCACAAGATGCTGGTGAAAGGGTATCACTTACCGCCAAACCTCACCGCACATATCGGCGTCTCCGCACAGAGACGACAATACCTGTGCGATAATCTAGCAAATCATTCGGAACCGGCTTTTTTTCCGCACACCCTGTGTCAAGACCCCGATGATTACGGTAGTTCGCGAACGCCGGAAGCAGTGTTCCCGCAAGGGCGCATCGTTCAGCTCACAGCTAGCCAGGGTGGCATAAGCAGCGGCAACGCGATTGCCTTCTCGCGACCTCGCGTGTGATATTCGGGCATGCAGCAACAGGATGTGCTTTGTATGCTACTGCTGCCTTAGAAGGTGGGAGGACACTTGATAGGCGAAAACATGAACTCCACGGCCGCCACAGCAGCAGGCGGCTGTGACGAAGCCCGCTGCTAATGGCGTTCCTCCTCTGCCACGGCTCACTTTTGCCCCTCCCGTTCAGTCCCACCCGAACGCAGCAGATGCAGTTCGCGTTCGGTTCCAAGATAATCAAACCTAGCTCTACTGGCTCCGGCAGCACGGCAGGGATGGGCAGCAGCGGCGCGGTCATGCCGACCAGGGGAAGAACAACGACGACAGCACACAGGGGTGGTGCGGTCGCCGCGGATACAAGCAGCACGCTGGCTCGGTCGAGGCGGTGAGTTAGGTGTTGCCGTCTGGGCTTATTGGCGAACGCGGCCGGTGTTTGGCCATGTTCGGGTTGGTGCATATTACCGCTCAAGATATATGTATTTGTAGCACCTTTGTCGCGACACTCTCCTCCTTTTGTGACCCCTGCTGATGCTTCCAGAAAGTGTGCCGGAAGGTCTCACGGCCGACGTCCAAGAACGACACACACACGGACTGAGACTGACTCATGTCTTATCGTCGGCCATTCGGTTACTTCAATCGAAGCTAACAATAGACCCACACATGCTCTCGGGTGTGGACGAAACTCCAATTCCTCTCCGGGGCCGCCGTTATCGTCTTCCTGCTACCCCCGTAGAAAAGGCAGCATGCGTAAGCATCACTCACACAAGAGCAGTGCTTGGAGATTATTCGATCCCTGGCTTGGAATTTGTTCCAAAATGTGGTTTTAGTCCCAACGCCAGCAGTCCACGCGATGAATCAGGAGACAAAGAATGTCTGGGTACAAAGAATCGATTTCATCTTTTCCGTATCTGAAGATCAAGCAACGAGGTACCGACTCAAAGACGACCCACCAGTACCGAAAGAGTTGATATTGTACCATGGTACTGAAACGGGACGGTACTTATGATGGTGCTGCGAAAACGTATGAACAGTCAATGTTATTTTTTACGGTAGACATCCTGGCGGCAAATACTGTTTAGGGCGCTAAGCCGTAAGTTACGCGTATTCGCTAAACTGTGGTGGAAACTTGGCGGGAAATCGGCTCGTGTACCCTGGAAGAAACAATACTACAGCTGTACTCCAATACTACTCGCGACCTCAACGTTAGCAATGTGGTTTCCATAGACACCCAACATACGATGCACGCCCTGCCTTCAATTTGTGTCTTAATCCCCAGAGAACGGGCCGCCAGACACGACAACCAAGATCAACAGCCGCAGCAGTCAGCAAGCTCGCGAGGACGAGGGGCTGTGCGTGCGGAAAAGCAGCAGCCTCTAGCCAGCACAACTCGACAAGAATCCGACCACCATCATCATCATGCATCATCCGCCCTCAAGGTCTGCTTGCTGCAAGTGCTTCTTCGCGAGATATTCGTTTGTTACAATCGTCGACCAATCATGGCCGCCTGGTTGCCCACATCGACATTCTCATATTAAGTCGTACTTGCTGAAAATGTACTTGTAGACCTAACCGTCATTTGTGAAGGTCGTAACAGTTTCGCTACACTGTTTTTCCAACGCTTTCTGTTCTGGTCTCAAAAGTGTTACGATTATCGACAACCAACTGCCGTGCCAACCCCCAGGTCCAGCTGGAAGAGAAGGAGAGTGTCATCGCTGAGCTGAGGAGACAGCTCGAAGCAAAAGGTAGGTTCGTTCAGATATTGATTTATTGGCCACACCTTCACCTCTGCCGGACAAGTCTTTTCCCCCATATATTGTGCTCTCCCCGCCTGTTTGCTGCCTAACTCGCTCTCCCCGCGCCACCTCCTACATATCTATGCCCCGCTCACTTGGCAGCCGGGGGAGGTGATTCTGGCGTCAAGGGTCCGTCGACGTTGTCTTCTGCGTCAGACACTTCGAAGGTGCAAGCCAAACTCTTGCCCAATGCCTGGGACCTTGACCGTGATTGGTGTTCTGTTGTCGTGGTATGGCGTGTTGCACAGAGGCTCATTACGAGGTGTTGCTATGGTGATGAGGGTCAAGTTTCCTTTTTTTTTTTCGGAAACGGAGGAAGGCCAAAGTTGTTTTTGAGGTCGGTATCAAGGCGGCATTGCTACGTACATGTTGGTTGGTTTGAGCTCTCTTTGAGCCCAGCGAGACTGTTATAGGCTCTATTGGGAGGAACCTACATGCATGTAATAGATATACACGGTGTGTTCTTTTTCGTTCATTTGCTCATTGTTATACCAACTATGGGTATGTCCGGCAGCAGCAGCAACAGCAAGCATGCAGTCGTCGAGACATTGACACCAGCGTTTGTCGGTCACAACTTGCGCCATTGAAAACAGCAGCAGCAGCAATCGGACGAGTTGAACGAGGGTGAGCAAGCAGCGCTCCGAGCGGTGCAGGAGGAAGCAAGAGCGGACGCGGAAGAAAAGCTCTCCCGAGTGGAGGCCGTAACCTCGGCGGGGCTTGCGAGTCTCTCGGAGATGCAGGACAGGGTCGACGAGATGATGTGAGTGTTGCAGTTGTTGTGCTTGCCTGACTCGCACTTCGTATTTGACTATCTTGCTTTCGTTTAAATTGCCCGTGCTCCTCGGGTTTCGCTAGACTGGCTTGCCTCGTGGGTGTTGGATGGGTGTTGCAGCGGGGGAGAAACAAGCCAGAACGGCGCTAAGCACTACGACTGTAGCGAGGTTGATTGGCATAGCACTTGATTTCTTGAATGTCGACCATGATCTGCGAAGGGGTTCCACGGGGTCAACGTTGGACATCGATGTCTTTGAACCTTCCTTAAGCTGTGCTGGTAGCTGCTGAGCTGTTTTGTTGGCGTCCACGGGTCAAAGTGCAGTGTACACCTGTCGGTCTGTCCACACCACCCTCAGCCTCGAAGAGGCGCAAAACTGTTTACCCCTCCCCGCGCGCGCTCAAGCCTGCCGCACTTGCGCTTCCAAGATATTTTGGAACTGGCTCTGTGCGACACAACAAAGGTTCTTGTTCCCATCGAGACGAGACTCGTTTTTTCAGTCCAAACCAAGACTGTGGCAAGAAACGAATGAGTGAGCGTTAATCCCCGCCCTTACCCATCCCACGGTGCCCCCCTCCCCCCCTCCCCCCCCCTCCTGTCCGTGTGTGGTGTCTCCTGGTCTCAGTCGGGGACTTAAAGCCAGAAGGAGCCAGTAGCCTCGGAGAGAGTGGAAGCGTGGCGAAACGGTTAAACGGAGCTGTACCGGGTACTTGTGGTGTTGAACACAGAGGGCGGGGGAATACGTGCGTGCGAGCGTCTTGTTGTTGGCGTCGACCGCACCAATCGGCTGACCAATGAAAATGCGTGGATCTCCATGCGGCTAGCAACGGCAAACGCTTCGAAAGGTCATGATGTGGGGTCACTTGAGGGGGGGGGGTGACAGGGCAAGTTAGACTGTTTTCCGGATTCAAGGCAGGAATGGAAGCAGATGAGACTTACACGTGTCTACCGAGGTAGAGATTTGCCGTCCAATCAGTTCTGACGCCATTACTTTTGACAACTCAGCCGGGGGCACACACCAGGAACGGTTTGTTTTTTTCGAAGGGGAAGTGCACAAAGCTCTCTGGTTGTTGCCCCATAGCCGTACAATACACGTCCCCCGTTGGAGGTGGGCACCAGGGGAGAGGGCGGGGAATGGGCCTAACCTTGTAGTGCCAAATAAAACTCGGAGAATTGGTATAAGAACGTCGGAAATTTACGTGCGTTGTTTCATTTTTGCCTTCTTCTGTGTATCTTGTGGCCCTTCATCAGTGTTTTCATCTGCCGGCGATGTCATTCCTGTCAATTGTGTTTGGTTGCTGCTGCTGCTGCTGCTGCCGCTGGATGCAGAAAAAGAGGGTACTCTTCCTTGAAAGGTACAAATCGTGGGTTTTGCACATGGCGGCGTTGTCAGGTCCACATCGTCCACATCGCACTGAGCAGTGGGCGGCGGGCACGCACCGAGTCTTTGTGGGACCCCCAGGCCAAGCGTTGTTGCTTGTTCGAAAACTAAACCTTTGAAAAGTGCGCTGTTACGTACTTATGTAGTCCTCAAACGCTTCAACGATGCTGGCAACGAAAATACCGTATACATTTATTACAAAGGCACTTTCTGAGGCGAAGTTGGCAAACTTTGCCGTCAAAAACAAACTTTGCAAACCCTGCGGATACAAACGTTATATTTACACATAGTATGGGGTAAACCTTTCACCCCTGCAACAAGTCCCACTGTCCCGCTAGCCCACAAGCCCCTCCTGCTTGATGAACACGCAGCGTAGCATCGGACAGTAGTATTGCTCAGCAGTGAGTGGGGGCATTGAGCTGCCCGAACGACCACGACCCATCCTCCCGTTCGACCAACGAAAACAAGCAAGACAACAAAACAGGTTAGGACTAGGAAACTCTAACCCCACCCCAGAGGGTAAGGCTGTGATGATACGGTACAGGAACAAGATGGTACGGTACGGGAACAAGTGGTGACGCGGCCACCGACACAACGTAGAGGCTGAGATATAGACACGGACGCCAGGCACAATAAACGCTTACCGATACAACGTTGTTGCCACCGTAGTAGAATATACGCGAAACATCGAACAAACAACAAACACCCGAGAGGTCAAAATCGGGGGCGTGTCAATACGTTCTCGACCAAGATCACCAATCCACGAGTACGGCGCCTCATTAGCGAGAAAAACAGAAAAAAATACACAAGGCAAGCACACAAAAAATCGGTGCCGGCAAAGAAGAGACATGGCCAATGAGATGGTCACAACAGCAGAGTATTACAAGAACATCGACAACAACTCTAATCTAGATGCGCAGTGCGCAAGGGGGGTATACAAACGAGGCAACGAACCAACCACTTGATCCGATATCGCCATGACCCCGCCCCCCCCATTAACGACACGACACAGAAACTACTCCCCAGCTCGTCAGTGACAACACGAGCCACCCTTCTCAACCAACTCTTTCAGAGCAGCGAGCCAGTTACTCTTATGCCGGCCGCCGTCAGCATAACCCCCGCTTGCCTCACGAGTGGAACCACGTCTATCCGCACGACTGCTGTCGATAGCTTCTGAATCAGATCTCATCGTAGGAGCAGTCTCGTCCACCCTCCCCATAGGTGCATCGACCGTGGCACCCTCTACCCCGCCACTTCCCGCCGCGACAGTATTCCCCCGCCCGTTATTCTCGCTGGCGGTCCCCGCAGCCGTGCCGCAAGAAGGGGCTGGGTTCTCCTCGGCCTCTTGTGGCTCCCTCTCTTCTTGCTCGTGCTGTGTGATACCTGCGGCATCGACAAGCAAGCCTAACGCGTCGCTGCTTTCCTTGTAGTTACATGGTCCCTCCCCCTCAGCAGCAGCAGCCTTCTCCCCCACGTCATCGTCTTGAGTCGCTCCCTCTTTGCAGTCTGGCGCTTGAGCAATACTGTCGATGGCGGTGTCCAACGCCTTGGTTCCCGCGTCATGGCTGCAGGACGCCTCACCCCCAACGTCCTCTGCGGTGCCCCCCTCTTCCGCCGACACCAATGCTGTCGTACTGAATGAGTCCGTCGCGCTACCGGGCCCCGCCATCGCATCCCCTACCCCCACGGTCGACGCCTCCTCTCCCTCTTCCACTCCATCTTCCCCAACATTTTCGTCGTCTGTCCGCCCCCCCCCCTCGTGACTTATGGGTAGTGCTCCCGGCAAGCCCGGTGTTTTCTGTCCTGCCAACTGGTCGTTCACGGGACTGTCGGTCATCGTCCCGGCACTGGTTGCGGCCAGCGTATTATCTCCCACCGCAACAGCTTCACCGTCAACACTTGCACCTTCCTCGTCCACTCCGCCCTCCTGATCCTCCTGTTCCTCCTCCGCCTCCTCCCCATCCCCCTCCTCCTTCTCTTCCCCCCCCTCCCCCTCCTCCTGCTCCTGCTGCTCCTGCTCCCTTCCCCCCCCCTCCTCCTCCTCATTTTCCTCCTCCTCCACCTTCTTCTCCCCCTCTTGCTGCTGCTCCTCCTCATCCTGTTGTTCTTGTTCCTGCTCATCATCCTGTTGTTCTTTTTCCTGCTCCTCATCCTGCTGTTCTTGTTCCTGCTCCTGCTGTTTTCTCTGCGGCGCAGGTGCCGAAACAAGCGGATCCATTGGTCCGCTATCTTCCTCTACCGGTCCTTCCTTAACGCGGTCGTCCACGGCCATGTCTGTACCCAGAACCAACACCGTCTCCGTGTCCCTGTCCGTCTCCTCCTCCACCTCCACCTCCTTCCCTCCCTCCCCCCTTTCTCCTCCATCCTCCTCCACCTCCTTCTCCCCCTCCCCCTCCCCCTCCCCGTATTCCTCCTCTTGTTGTTCCCGCTGCTGCTGCTGCGGTTTTCCCTGCGGCATAGCTGCCGTAGCAAGCGGACCCATTGGTCCGCTGTTTTCCTGTACCGGTTCTTCCTTGACGCGGCCGTCCACGGCCACTCCTGCACCCAGAACCAACGCTTCACGGTCGCACTCGCCTTCCTCTCTGTCGACGCTTAGACCCTCTGCGCAATCGCCCTCCGCCAAGTCCCCCTCCCCTTCGTGGTACTTGGGCAAAACGAACGGTACGTCCGCTGTTCCGGGGTCTGTCACTTCTTCCCCACATCGCTTCTCCGCGTTCAACCTCGCAGCCGCGTCCGAGACGCCCTTTCCCCCTTCGGGTCCGTCGTTGACCCTTCCCACGGTAAAACGGAGGTCCTCTTCCGTCGTTTCGACCGCACCAGTCGTCTCATGCTGCTGGCCGCTCACATCCTCCTCCAACACCTCCTCCTCCCCTCCCCCCCCTCCCTCCTCCTTCTCCCCTTCCTCCTCCTCCACCTCCGCCTCCGCCTCCGCCTCCTCTCCCTCCTTCTCCTCGTCTTCCTCCCTCTTCGCAATAATCCGACTATCCTCCTCGAGGGGGCCCCGGTGTCGGAGGGGTGTAGACACTACCCCGTCCCTCTCTTCCCGGTTACGGGGGTTGGGAACTCGCGCAATCTCCGTTCCCCGCTCAAACTCGACCGACGGAGGCGGAGTCTCACGTGTGGCCTCGTTAGCCTCAAGAGGTAGGTGGGGCTGTCCGCAACGCGGCTCCGTTGCCAGTGAAGCGGCCGCGGGAGGGGGGTGCAGCAGAGCAGCAGGAACAGGAGCCTGCCGGACCTCAGGCTCGTCCTCAACCTCTGGTACCGCGCTACCCACTTCGTTTCTCGTTGCGATAGACACACGGTCCTCCTCATCCTCCTCCTCAGGCTTGACTTCCTCACCAGAGGCCGGCGACACCGTCCTCTCATCCCTTGGCTTGGACCCTCCATCCGCTACCACCCACGCCTGACGGGCACCGGTACCGGCAGTAGCAACAGTAGCAACATACCGGTACGTGTTTAACCCCGGCGTGGCTGTTGGCGGGGGCAGTCCATCCAAGCCCGCGGCTGCAGAATCGAGGGGTTAAGTTGCCGCCGCCGTGCTCGCGGCCACGGGACGCGGATAATCATTCAACGAGGCTGTTGGGGAGAGGTGGGTGTCGAACTCGACACGGGTGGCACTCCCACAACCATCAGTGTTGCTGTTGGTGCCGTCCAGGCTATCCAAGTGCTCCGCGTGTTGATCACCCGCAACGCCAACAATGCCGTTCGATCGCCATACCTCTCCGCCTTGGCTCGTATTTCTCAGACTGCTCGAACCCCCGGGCTCGCTCTCACCCACAGAATCCACGCCCAGCCCCCCTTTACCGCCCGAACTTCTCGGGTTCTCTGGCTTACCCTTGCCCACACGATCCTCAGAAACAGAGCCACCCAGCCTCACATTCCCCGCGACACCGAGAGAACTCGATCCCTCCTCGGTCCCAGCCCTGCCCACCTCTTCGGCACGGGCAACACCAACCACCTCCGCCTCGTGCGCCACCGCCGTGACAATGACACCCGTGTCGGCAGGAACCCCGGCCATCACCGTGGCGCCTACACAACGCCGAGAGGCTCGTGTAGCGCTAGTCGTTTCCTCCCCGGGTGCGTGAGGGGAAACACGTCCCCGTGCCGGAGAAACGACTGAGAAGACGCGGGGAATGGCCGAGTCTCCGGCGCAGGGCTTGCACGTCCGCTTCGGGAGTCTTGCCGGCGAGCACGTGGCGCACACGACCTTGCTGCACGCGCGGCAGCGGTGCGGCCGACGGTAGCGCGTGAATTCGGCCCGGCAGACTCCGCACTGCTGCTGCTGGGACGACGCCAGAGACGAAGGCGAAGACGACGACGAAGACGGAAATATTTTTCTCCCTGCAGATGATGCTGTTCGTCTCCGTGGATTAGAGTCGAGCGAGGGGCGGCGGCGGTCATGGTCGTCAACAGCGAACGTGACGGAACGCCGAACCCTCTCATCGTTCTGGCCCCGGTGCAGGGGCGTGGACATCGCGGAGCGAAGGGAGGCCTCGGTAGCCAAGGAAGAGGTCGTCGAGTCCATCGACATCTTGCGACTGTGAGAGGGAGGGATTGCGCCGAGCGTGGGGTGGGTGGAGGAGGCCGAGGAGGCACGTCTTCTGTCGCTACGGCGCCTCGAGCGGAGCTTCAACCATTCGGGCCGGTCCACGGAGTCAGGAACTCGGACGTGTGCCTGTGTTGAGTACCATGGATGTGGAAGGTGTTAAAGGAGCAGGGGGGGCGGGGGGGGGCGGGGGCGTAGTCTTTATGTTTTGCATGCCTTAGCGGTTAGACCATTGACCACGCGTCCTCGAGAGGACGAAGCGTTGTTCCCACAGGACCGATCACCGATGGCCAATCGTTCCTTCCTCCTTTGCCAAAGGTGTCTCGAAAATGTGTTCCCTAGTCTCTCTATCCTACCGATATCATTTCTACCGATATCACTTCCCGCCTTTTCAACCCACTTCCTATGCCCCAGTACAGCAAACGTCTTATCCTCGCTATCCCATGCATCAAACATCTCCCTGTACTTTTCTCCTACCCAGCTCAGTCATGTACACTTTCCGCTCCTTCTTGTACAGCCGACATTCCGCGATTACATGACCACGGTATTCGCACTCGAAGCCCCAATAAAATTTGAACTCTGCGTCTTCATCAAGGGGGCGGGGAGCATAGTTTAGTCAACCGTGGGTGAAGGAATGGGGATTGAACGAATCACGTCACCGGCAAGGGCAAAATGCCACCGATCGCCCTGTTGTTCTGCCAACTTGCGCCGGTGCTTGGAGTGTGATATCGGAGCTCTACAACTTAGTCCCCAAGATTCAAAGAACGTCATGCCTGCACCCTAATTCGAGGCCGCGCACAGAGAACAATCAGGCTGGTGATCGTTCGTTTGACGCATGCGTATAATACGCAAAATCAAACCTTTCGGGTTTCTCCTTCTTCGTCATCCCGTCTGTTGCTGGGCGAGGACGAAGGCCACTGCCGTCGTGGTACCGTCGCGGTGGCAACAATTTTCAATTTTCCACCCTTCGTACAGTATGCCCACCTCACATCATGCGGGTTTCCCTTCTCTACTGACGAGTTACGATCCCGGGTCACAGAGAAGAATATCCTCTGCGGGGTGCGTCCCATCAATGATCCTTACGGCGAGAAAAATCCAGCCGACACTGCTGTTTACTTGATGTACAAATACGTAAATACTCGACGAAACATTGCGGCATGTGCCATGGTTCGTCTGCGGTACATTTCTTCAATATGGCTAATTTATCAGGAGAATAACGGGTTCTGTCGACTTGTAGCCAGTTGTGAACACTGCTACTCGAACGGTAGCAGTGCGAGTCAACATGATTCCTCCAAAATCGCGCTTCAAATGAAGCACCAGGAGTTGTCGCTGAACGGTTGGGCTGAACGGACAAGGCAAGACGCCAGCGGAAATCGGAATGAGAACCTCGTGAACTTCTTCGCGTGCACCGTATGTATATGCGTATGCGCATGCCTATATTTAGCAGCGATATATATTTGCCACTCCATGCATGCGAGAACAAGAAGGGAACAGGGACGTTGTAAAACTAAGAACTAGAAACCGAGCATTGCACACCCGGAACTACTTGTACTGCTGCTGCACCTGGGTCATCGGGGCGTCGGAAACTATCACCGGGGGAGCCCCCGCCGCGGCGCGGTCAATGTTCTTCGCACTCGTACGGATGGATCCGTTGTCTCGTCTTTGAAGGTTGTCCATGGTACCAGCCAGCAGGAGGGCTTTGGTGCCTCCTGGCTCCTGTCCAAGCCCAATTGGTGTTTACTCGACTGGAGCGACGGGACTTCAGATGCATGCGAAACATGAGCAGGTGTGAATGTGTCTGGTGTGTCTGATTGTCGGATGGTTGAATGCTTTCAGGGGGCTCCGAGCAATCCCCTGCCCCCCCCGTGACAATCATGCAACCTTGAGCACAGCAGTAGACACCACTAATGACACAGCTAACCAGACCTACAGGGTGTGTCGCCATGCGTGTTGCTGTGGTGTCTGGAGCAGCGCTACGATCTCTTGCCGTTCTCGGTGCAGGCCAAGGCCGGGGACGGGCAACTGTTGCCTTCCTTGCAGGTAAGCTTTTGTGACGACGCAACCGAGACAGGATATGGGGTCCGGTACTGAACTAGCAGTAGACTATGTACAGCAGCAGAGTGACGTACGATAGATATCACCCCCCTCATGCACTTCAACTCAGTGTGTCGTTCATGACCCGGTAGAGACCTGCAAGGGGGATGTTCTGTAATTTGTACCACAAGGCTCCCCTTGAGGAGGTTTGGTGGTTTGCCAACCTTGGGGTTGCCTCCCGGGGGCGACGCAAGAGGGCATGGCCAATGTTAATTGTATCACAGCAGGTTGCAGTGCCCGTTCTTGCTACAACGTGTGCATCAAACATTTTTCAATGTATCGATGTGCGGGGTAACACCGATGTTTATGGAAGCAGAATCTTTAACAAAATGTTGAAAGTTTCGCCAACATTTGTTTGCACGCTTTTTATGGAAGGAAATCTTTGAAGAAATGTTGCCAAAGATTTCAATTCGGGAAAAAATCCGCTGTTTCGACGAAATGTTTGGCAAACATTTCGTCATCTGCCCAGCTCGCAAAAATGTTTGACGCGGCGTGATATGAAGTCGGGCCGCGTCCTGCGCCGGGACACGCCACACGTCCTTCCTCACCACAAGCACGCCACACACGCGCACACGACGCTCCCGACCCGCACGGGAGCATCGACCATGGCCACGCCGATGGATGATGACGCTGTCATGGCTGCACTGTCCGGAGCTGCCGCTGCAGCGGCGAATTTGCGGAATTTGCAGAGCATGGTGCTTGACCTGGCTACCGAGAGCGACGTGGCAGGAGGGTTGTTGTTGGAGGAGGACCAAGAAGAGGAGGAAGAGAAACCCAAGCAGATCCGGCACGCATACCCTCGGCCGGACTACTGGGGGTCTGTCTGGGGGGAGTGGTTGGTGAAACTGCGAGAGCTGAGTAACTCTGAAGGCGGGCTTGACCCGAAGTGTCGAGAAGCGGTCCAGTTCAAGAGCACCTTCCGGGTGAAGTACGAGTTGTTCGAGCTGATCATGCAGTCGGTCGCGTCCATCTTCCCAGCCGGGACCACAGATGTCGCTGGTCGAGACTGTCCACCCGTGGAACTGAAGGTGCGTTGCACGCTGGTGGCGTTCGTGTTTGGTGTTTGTTTTGTACGGAGTATGTGTTTTGTTTTGGTCAGACCGGATGAACATTGCACAGCGGCAGCAGCTGCTGCTGTCGCTGTCGAGCTGCGACATGTGCGCGCTGGTTTGCAGCAGTGTAGCAGGTTATGGTGCATACGTGTGTAGACGCAGTCAGTAGTGCGCAGTGACCCGCGGTGGCGCCACCTGCGTGTGATGTCGAACATGTTATTTGCAATTACAAATCAGTCATTTGCCGCACACCATTTCTTGTTGAGGTATCCTCTGAAGAGAACAGCGGTGCCGTGTACACGCAGGACGGTGGGGGTGAAACGCGGCTGTGCATGCGTAGTTTAATATTGTCTTCTGCAGAAGGATGTCGCCGAAGAGATGCCCCCCTCTACCGTGGAATCTTTGTTGTGACACCTTTGGGTGCATGAGGCAGCAGTCGAAGGGCTGGTTATGACTCAGCAGTCGAAGGGCTGGTTTTGACTGCCGCAGTGCTGTTGTGTTCATCGCCCCCAAAGCAAGTACATACATAATGATGTGCCCTCGATGTGTGTTCCCACCGTTCGTCGCCCCGGTGGTCTAGCGGTAACCTCAAAACCCGTTTGCAGCACGGTCATGATTTCGAATCCCGATCGGGAGACTGAATCAGTTGAATACTTGCGGGTGAGCGCGTTCAAAGCTCGTGAGTGCCAAACTTAACCGAGGGAAAAGTTGGCTCGCGACAAAATAAAGATATACTCCGTACTCCGGAGTACTTCGTACAAAGGATACCGCAGGAAGAAGGCGGGGCCAAAAACAAAAAGAACCAAAGAAAAAGGCGCAGTGCTTCCCCCCCTCTCCTGCATGACCCCGGGGATACGTCCCGATGTACAGTTAACATGCACGGAAATGTAGTAGGGTCCCCGGAAGGTGTAGAGCACTGCACCAAAAAGGTGGTGAGAGACGACACACATAAAACCCTAACCTCACGTGCCGCACGTGCAGCGCGGCCCATGTCCCGGTTCGCGCGACAAAGCTATCCGATGCATGTATATTTGATTTCGCGATTCCCTCCTCGCATGCTGCCGCAGGTGCTTGGGGCGTTGAAGGTGTTGGCTTCAGGCTGCTGCTTCCAGGACGTGGCTTGCTGTACTCGCATGAGTCGCACCACCGCCGAAACATCGTTCCACCACTTCTGCGAAAAGTTCGCGGAGGGTCTGTGGGATACTTGGGTGAAGCTGCCCGTGGGCGACGAGCTGAAGAACGCGGAGGAGATCTACCGCAAGTGCGGTTACCCCGGAGCGATGGGGTCCGTCGACTGCACCCACTTCGCCTGGTCCTGCAAGTTCTCGGAGAAAAACCTCCACCAAGGCAAGGAAGGGTACACGTCTGTCGTGGTGGAGGCGACATGCGACCACGCCGGTCGTATCATCGCCGCCACGAAGTCGTACCCTGGAGCTGAAAACGACAAGACCGTCATCGCCCGCGACAAGTCCATCTGGAGAATACGAGACGAGGAGCCGTGGAAGAGCTACAAGTACAAGCTCTACACCAGCAACGGGACGGAGACGGAGCACATCGGGGCGTGGCTCATCGTGGACGGCGGGTATCCGAAGGTGATATATTTATGTGTGTGCTGTGTGTGTGTGTGTATGTATGTGTTTGGTCTCACTGTGTAGTCCTTTGCGGCGTGTGCAGTACACCTTTTGGTGGAGTGTGGTTGCAGCACGAGACGCGGCATGTGGGGGTCAGTTGAGCAGGAAATGTCGCAAAATTTATCAATATGTGCTCTTTGCTAGAGCTTCTTCCTGCGGTGGTTGTTTTCTTCGAAGGTTCTGTATTTTTTCGTGTGACAGGTGCATCCAAACTGCATTGGGTTATGCGCCGCCGTTATGCGCCGCCCCCTTCAAATCACAAGCACACATCTTCCGTGTTCTGTGAATACAGCTAGACGCATGTCGCCCCCCTCTCCTTTCCCCACGGAACAGACCGGTATGCTGAAACTTAAAAAAGGGCAAACAAACCCTCCCCCCTGCCCATGAAGTTTACTTGTCTGCCGCGTGTTCTTTGTTCAGGTATGGTACGCTGTAGTACTGCGCCTGTTTTTTTTTTGTCCGTAGTAGATGAACCGGGGTAGGCATAAATGACGGGCGTGATTGCCTCTTCGCCATCTATGAACTTACCAGCCACCGATGTGAGGTCAAGCCCCGCTGCGTGCGATAGAAGAAAAAACCGCCGAAGATGGTGAACACGAAACTGAACAGCCCGTGAAGCACAGACATAACATCGACGAGGAGAAGGGCTCGTTGAACCATCTTGCGAAACGAGAACAAAGAAAAGATATAGGCCAAGTGGCGACCCCTTCCCTCGTAAAGTACGTCTGGTTAAGAGAGACACTCATAGAATAGAAAGGGTGTAGCACACCGAACAGGTGGACAGACCCAGAGTTGATGAGATGCAGACACATTCCATACCCGCATTGTGTGAATATTTTGAAATGTGTCTCCTTGTTTTTGGACCCACCCTTCTTTTAAAGGTTTTGTCGGAGGGAGGCTCGTCACGGCACACACGGGACATCCAGTAGCGCTGCCCCTAATGCTGCTCCTACCCCAAAGTACTAGTTGGATTTGCATTTGAGGGTGGAACGTAGTAGACTATGTATATTGCAACGCACTTCCACGTGTGTCCATCCCGCGTTATGGGGTTCGCGATGCATCTGAAGATGGATGCGCGCATGCTCGTTCCAATTTTTTTATTTTTGTTTGAGTCCATCTACTTGAAGTCCGCGAAGATACAGTAGCTGTCGCTAAAACGAGCGACAGCTGATAGATATAACTGTCGTCAGACGTGTGCGTCCACGTTCGGGAATAGAGTGCAAACACCACACACGTGATGCCTTCGGTTTGCACAGCAGCTATGAGCTGCTGGTGTGTATGTAGTGTAGTCACGCGGCCCCCCCCTCCCCCTCAATCCATTTTGTCCTGTTCCGCACATACCCCGGCATTCCAACCCCCCTCTTTTTTTTTCCTGGTTGAGCTCATCATGCGTGCCAGCAAAGCGCCTGTTGTCATGAAGCTCTCGGCACACACATCCCCCATGCCTCACACGATTCCCACGCCCTGGGATGTCATAACGGACCACACGATGGAGGTGTTCCGATGGCTCCCAGTGCCCTCGGCGCAGAAAACTGCGTGATGGTTGGGTGGGAGCGCCGGCGCTGTTTTTTTTTTTCGTGGTGCCCTACAGCAGTCTATTTTGCAAGTGATCGCACTCTAATATCAAGTTTAGTCGAACATACGCCGCACGTACATACTTCTTTTCGACACAGGGCCCTATTACGTGATGGGTTGGTCTTGATTAGAAACTCGCTTCGCTCGATTAAAAATTCCAAGCCCAATTATGCCCTGCTACCTCTTTTGCAACAGATCCCGCTTCTCATCCCGCCGTTCAAGCACTACCTCAACATGGATGAACACTACTGGAGCAAGCGATTGGAGAGCATCCGCAAGGATATCGAAACTCTTTTCGGTAGGCTGAAGGGGCGATGGAGGATCTTCAAGGGCACCATTCTCTTCGACAGACGAGAGAAGATCGACAATGCATGGTTTACCGCGTGCATTCTTCACAACATGCTTCACGCCATGAACGGGCTGGGCGACCTGGACGAGGACGCGGACTGGGTGGGATCGGCAGGAGGCCTCGGGGAGGGGGCGGGGGCTGCCATGGAGGTGCAGACCGCGAACGACGTGCCCGGTCCCGGATTCAACGCATTCCGCCAGCAGCTCGTCACCCACTTTAAGTGCGCGTGGGAGAAGAAGGAGGTCCTCTGGTTGAGGAGGATGGAGGCTTAAGCAGTCGTTTGGCGTATGCCCCTGCGCTGTTGTTTGGTTGTGGCTTTTGTATCTCTCCGACTGCAAG